ACTCACAACAGCCCTCGAGACGACCTCCAACTTTGTTTCTTGTAAACAGACGAGATCAGCCCGCCATCCCCTTAACAAGTTCCGGATACCTAACCTTTTCCCAACCTCGTTCAGCCCCCTCACATTCCAACTAATGATTTTTGGAATCATTAAAACTCTTCTTCATTCCCCCCCAACAACCCTCTCTTTGACTCACTACCTTTAACGTCGTAGTTTATCGAACATTCAAGCCGCCTAAGCTCGCGGACCCCCTTTCTTCTTACTTTTCCTCCTGGTGTATACGTCCCTTGTCCCCTATTAGACTCCAACTCCTCAAACAATTGCATGAGTTTACTCTCATAACCATTGCATGACACACCCACCATCTTGCTGAACTCCTGCATTTTTTGGAGAACCCAATTTGAGGCTAGGGGTCTAACGTCAAGCACTTTAACTTTCGTTATCTCCTCTGCATAGCAACACCCAATAGGCTTCAAGATCTGTCCATCCCCCTCTTCCACCTGCATTATATCCTTATCCATTCTTCCATTTTTAGCGCCATCCACCCACACTACTATCGCTTTTTCAGTCCCTAACTCATTTTCTGTTAGAGATTTGTGATATCTCCTATTGTACGTGTTCACAATCATATTTGTCGAGCCTGTCACCTCTTGCTCTTGTGTCAATGTCGGATTTAATTCCTCTGCCAACGCTACTTCCGCCTCTTTCTCTAACAACACTACTCTCTCTGTTGATGTGATCATGTCCACCTCATTCGCAAATGCACAACTATTCTCTCTGGTCTCATCCAATGTCATCAAATTAGTGCTCGTCGTTCTCTGTTCTCCTCCCTTCGATGCAAGTTCCGCCTCCCAATTTGCCTCCTTCCCCGAGTAATTTTCATTCGTATCCATCCCAACAGTATCTTTATCGTCGTCAACTCCACTGCACTCCCCGTCATACCTTACCTGATTCTCACAATTGGGCTCAAGCATCACCTGCTTTTCTTTAGTTTGAATCAAGTTCAATGGTAATTCCATAATTGGATCCTCAGACACACCAGCCTCGCACTTATGACAACAAGTGATCCTAGAGCCCTCTAGAGGTCCACCTCCTAGAAGCCTCCATAATTCATCTACTTCACCTTTCAACATCTGAACACGAGCCTTTATTTCAGCATTATCCAATGAACTATCCAAAGCAACTCCTACCATTGTCTCCTTCAACCTAGGTATCCGTGAATGACAAGCCTCACTTTCCTTTTGCAACAGCACTGTCTTATCCGTGTTCTGCGCGACCTGTCGGTTTGCTGTAACTTCAGCATAGGTCCTCCCTTGTTGGTTGTTAACATTAGTCGTTTTATGCTTAACCTTATCTTTGGTGACAAATAAGTCGACAACTGCCTGAAACATCCGCGCTATCGACACCCATCCCTCCCCATTCACGCCTTCCGGTACCATCAACACTCCTTTCCGACGCCTATCTCCGTACTGTGCTATTGTCAGATACCTACCTCGACTGTTTCCGCATCGCTGTACCAGAAAGGCTCTCGAGGACTCAGTGAACTTGGCAACAAACTCCTCCCACTTACTTGCCCCCCTCAATTTATTCACCATATTCAGCATCCACAAGGCACCAAACCTCCCCATATAGATTGCATTCGATATCCTCGGTCCCCATTCTGTCAACCTAACCATGCCGGATTCATTGACATACACAGCAAACTCCTTCGCCTCCACTCGAAATCGAGAAACGGGGTGTTGGAATGGCCTGAGCAGGTCACGAGGAAGCCCCTGTATTTCAGTCGCCGGCGCGTGGGGCACACGCGCTGCCGGAGCACCGCCGGGAGGCAGCTCCACTCTCGTCGGAGTCGGAAATGCCTGCGCAGCAGTCCGGGCAGGCGCGTGGGGCCTGAATGTCATCGGAGGGTGTTGAATCGGACTCTGAACCCCTATCCCTGTTGGTGGGCTACCTTCTATTCCACCCTTGTTCAGCTCGCCTGAGCCCACCATGCCCTTGCAGGACGGTGCGTCTCCGATTGTTGGACAGTTTCGGACGGCGGCGCTAGGGTTTCCACCTAGGGCCGCCGTCTGCAGGTGGCTTCCATGGCCGGATTAATCTTCAACAGAAAGAGCTATATCTAACAAGAGGAAATGAACTGTAAGAACATTGAGATTTAGACACCTCTGATTC